GACTGGGTATAAGTGATGCTGGAGGAGTCAGTAGGATAATCTCTGGAGGAAAATCGAATGACCAGAGAAATTACACTCTCAGCATTGGAATATGCTCAGATGTTGATGGGAATTTCATAACATACACTAAGGTAGCTAAATGTTTTGAAGGGGAGCGTTGTGCTTCCAATCGCATAATGCTGGAGGCTACAGCTACAGATGGAGCGCTTTGATCAAATAAAAACTTAGGTGCAATGATCTCCCCGAACTCTCCCTGTAATACATTGCTTTTAGTGTGTTGGTAAATGTATTATCATTGTAAAGATCAAACATACCTTAGAGCAGGGGTAGGCAGCATGGTGCCCTCTGGATAGCTTATGTGGTTTGGGTGGTTTATTTCATTAGTTTCAATGAGACTAAAGCATAATTTTTTGTGTTTATTATTTGTATACTGTCCTATTCCCACACATGGTATACAACATAAAATCACAGTATAAAAACGCAAAATACATAATAAAAACAAAAACAACATCCCAATAATCCCCCCTCCACAACACATTTTAAAAGGGGGTTGGATGTCAACCAGCCAAAGGCCTGGTTAAAGAGGAACGTTTTGCCTTGTTCCTGAAGGTGTATAATGAAGGCACCCGGCGATCCTCCCTGGGGAGAGCATTCCATAAACGGGGAGCCACTGCAGAAAAAGCCTGTTCTTGTGTTGCCAGACCTTCTGGACCTCTCGTGGAGGTGGCACACGAAGAAGGGCCTCAGATGATGGATCTCGGGGTCCGAGTAGGTTCATATGGAGAGAGGTGGTCCTTGGGGTATTGTGGTCCTGAGCCTAAATGGTTGGACCAGGACCACATGACACAAACTCAGATTCTGCTTGTGGGCTTTCCATGGGTATCTGACTGGCCACTGTGACTGCAAGACTAGACAGGCCTTTGCTTTGGCTGATCCAAGCAGAGCTTTTCTTACGTTCTTAAAAAAACAAACCTACAATTTTCCATTTCAGACAATTATTTTCATAAAGATGTCAGAATAGGGGTGCATGACGCAGAATGTGGCATTTGGTTAAATTATTTTTCTCCAACCTTTCTTAGAACATGATATAACAGCAGTGTAATCTACTATACAAAGATATGATTCAAAGCTAAAGCCTTTCTTCTTGGGGTGAAGCCTTTGGTAAAATAGTTTATTTGAGAGCTTAGAGGAAAGGCTGATCTACAAGAAAACCCTACAGACATACTCGGTTATGCAGAAGCTTTTTACAAAGCATTACTGCATCGAGTCAGTTTTTAAGGCATTTTACTTAATAATATCACTGTCTCCAATTTAAATTCTAGTACCTTAATTATGGTTTTGCTGTTGCTCCTGGACAATATAAAACACACACACAGGTAATTAAAATCCTCTGAGGATCACTATTAAAAGTATATCTACAGAAAAGAAATTGGATGGTTTTTTGTCTACAGCTGCTATCCTAACCTGCTGCCAGTTACCTAGAGAGTTTTTGGAATAATACATGCTGTTTACACTAACTTCAGTCAGCTTATCCATACATCTGCTGGCTTTTGCTATTATCTACTGAGTTCATCAGATCAGCAAAGAAGTGTATCTTGATTATCTTGATTAAGCAGAAGCCCTCAGCTACCACCCCCTACTATGTTTTTAATACTAACGTGCCAGTCCTTTCTTTGTCTAATCTAAATTATAACATGACCTATCATTAAGTGCTAAAAGAGTATTCCCAAGGTATGTACTATATGAAAGGTCTATTTTAATGCTATTACAAGTTTATATAAATAGGGTAGACATGAAGATCATTTTTACTATAAATCGATAGCTATTTAGTTCCAATTCTGCTGGAAGGTGCTTTTGTTACCTGTCCAGAGCCCTTGAGATAGGGAAGACTAGATCTAGAGTGACAGATCTAAACAGAAGGCACCTCAACTCTGTGATTCTAGATCTACAAGCTATCCTTTCTCAAAGGCTCAGAGCAGATTACAAAAGCAAACACCATCCATCAGAACATAATAAAATATATTCAAATGCAGTGAAGTTTCCCCAAGCTTTCTTGACTCTTGAGCTGTAAAGGCTAGCTTAGACAAGTAGGTTGTATGCTCTGGAAGAGCACTTCCATACTGGGGAACAGCCTACGACACTGGTCCAAGCACATGTGTAGACCCAAGGTTGAAGAAGCCTTGTTGAGACTCACTTTGATGGATCTGGGCCACTGATTGTGTCAATAAGTAAATTAGGGTCTTGACGTTTGGAGAGGCTTTTGGGGTGACTAGAGTATAGGTTATGTTTCAGTGTTTTTCAGTCTCATATTAAACAATTGTGGGTTTTTTGCTTAAAGCTTTTAGGGAAAAGTTGGTTTCTTTTACAATTGATAGTTAATGTCTTCGTTGCTTTCAACATAATTATGTGTATGTTACCCTTCTCCAACCTGGTGCCCCCAGACTACAGCTCCTATCAACTCCAGCCAACATGGTGTATGTCATATACACAGGATCATACAAAGTAAAATAGAGTGTGAATTGTTGTTGGCAACCATCTGTCTTGAGAGTGCGCCTCTGGGGGTGAAGTCAAACTGCTGTGTTAGCAGCACCGAAGTGACCTCCCCAGGGCTCAAGCCAGGGCATTGTGTATGGAGGTCCTAGGCTGCCCAAATAAGACCCCCATCTTGGCCTCACTGATGTCATTCAAAGGAAAGCAGAACAATATGTTTGGCACCAGCTTGGCTGCAGGAGTTGCTGGAAGGAGGCGTACAAAGCGTCATGCAACAGTCTTAGTGACTCCACTCCAGATTTGTGTAGGGTTTACTCATTTGCCTTTTCTTCTTCTGAAGATATCCCACAAGGCAGAGAGGTTTAGGATCAGGGTTTTCCTTCTCCTAGATGGGCTCCCTTTCCTTGTTGATGAGTGCCATCTGCTACTCACTTTCCTCTACAGCACGTGCTGTTAGACCCACTATGGGTCAATCAACCGGACTCTATCTTTGCATGCAGGGGAAGTCCCTAACTCACTGAGGGTTTGAGACCCATCAGCTACTTTCACCTGGGTTAGCCAGCCTGCTGAAGCCATTCCCGGTGTGTGTGGCTGCTGTCACATGCTGACAGCTTCTAGGAGCCACAGGTGAGAGAGCTGAATGAGGGTGGGGACCAAAGGTGAGCAAAGTACCCCAGCCAGCACAACATGTCTGACACCAGACATATTATAATTTATCTGCGTGTCTTTCCTCCTCACTGAATTAAAAATAAATATCATATAGCTCTGGTTTGTGTTGATCATATATTGTACCTCCATCAACCGCACAGTAAAATTATTCAGCTCAAAAGAAAGCACTGCCCTATTTTAAACAAGCCCTGTGATTCCCCATCTTCTTCTAGTCTTTCAGGTTCAGTAGTAGAGAACAGGAGATACACACACATGCGCACACACAAATGATTTAAATGATAAAATATGAACATTATCAGGTGTCCTGATGTTTTAAAGCGAGAGACATGGCAAATTTAGTGAAGACATCAGTGAAAAGGAGCAAGAAATGAATACATGAGTCTTAAGGCTTTGTGGAGAAAATAAATGTTGGGCAAACCCACTGCCTCCCAATTTTTCTCTGGGGCGGCTCATTGTCTGTTTTAATAACCCCCCAATATTTCCTTCCAATTCTTTTTTTAATGTTCCCTTTTCCTGTCTACATTCTTTGCTTTTGTGCATGCCTCCTAAGTCCTTTCTTCTATTTCCTGCCTTCTACCTTCAGATTAACATTATAGTGTATCTGTTTCTTATCTCCTTATTTCAGTACAAAATATAAAGTAGCTACAGCTAGCTGTTTTAAATGGTAGCATCTTTTGCAGTGTCTAATTGGGAGTCTTCACAAGGGAAGTTTTTTGCTCCTCTGAGAGATTGCAATACCATTTTGTCTAATTGTTCCTTATGTTAAACTACCATATTATAAGCATCTTTGGAATATTAAAATAGTACTATTGTTGAGCTCTTAAGGAGCCTTCGGCTGTTATGCCATTAAAAGCTTGGTGGCTTTCTGCTGACTACAGTCTGGTAAAAGATTATTCCAGCTATTACAGAATAAAACATGTTCCTATATTCCACAGCATAGCAAAATTAAGGTAAATACTGAATACTTCATTTTACCATTTTAAGACGCACGCTGCAGCACCATTTCACATCGCATAAATGCTCCTGATCCGTTGTCAGTCAAGTTCAGTAAGACTGAAATAGTTTATTTGCTTTCTATTCATATGAACTAAATCCCTAACAAGCCTCATCTGCTAATTGGACTTAACATTTATGTTGCTAAATGAGAAGCATTTTGGCTGCAGTGTTGGGTGGTAAGACCTACCCAGTGGAATAAACAACTAACATCTGCTATCTTGTCGTGCTCCAGCTTGGCTTTTACCAGTTAAGTACATCAGCCCCAGGGTCAAGGTTATGGAATTTGTGGTTTCCTGGCTCTTGTGTGTACATGAGGAACGGAAGAAGCAACAACATAAAGACCAGCCAAACAGAAGTTCTGCAGTGCATATGGTCTATTTTGCTTTAACCTCCACAAGTCCTACAAACCTAATAAGTCAAAGCACACTGCTCCATAGCATTTGTCAATAGAATATTCATGTGAACTTATTCCAGCGGCCATTACATTCAATCCACATTTCCTACATAAAGTGAAATCTGAGAATATTTCACTGTTTTCACATACACATCACAAGGAATATCAGTGGCAGTGGGGAACAGTATTAACTATTCTTTAAAGCATCATTTTCCTCTCCCCTTTGATGGGCAAATATCACTAAAGGCAGCCTGTCTCCTTTCTCTCTTCCTCTTTAATATGGTTGTGTCTGTTTTGCAACCAGTGAAATCAGCCAACCCATTTGCAATTTGGACAATGCACGGTGCATATGTTGTGTTTCGTAATGCTAAACTGTAAAATTATACAGCACGTTGGTCTCTATTGCATATTGAACACAACTGTCGCTATTATTACTTTCTTTGGAAAACAGACACTGACGTCCAACCTGACTGAGTTGCAGCGAGAAAAATCAGATTTACAAGGGAAGTTGGACCACCTGACCCAGTCTATGAAAGTGAGAGAGGGTCTGTCTCCTGTGACATCTGGCCCTACTGGAATGACACCAGCAACTCCATTCAAGAATGTAGATTTGGAAATGAAGCAGCTGCAGTGTAAACTGAAGGTGACAGCCCATGTTATGAAATTATTATGAAATTTGCACTTTTATGTCCTAAAGAGAGTATCAAGCACTGAAAGACCAAAAATAAAATGCATCTTGCGGCTTAGGTAAATGTGCTATTAAATGATGGTCACACAACCATAATTAAATAAGAATAACTTAACATTCAGTCAGATGAAATTGAACTGGCTTGCTTCATCTGTTCAAAGATTAGAGAAAATAAATCAGATTCAGGACTATGATTAAATCTGGCTTGTTGAAAGTGTTAGGCTGTGTTTAAGACAAATCATATGATTCCAGTCCTTACAGTATAAGAAGTGAGATTTAAAATTGCTATATTCACTGGATGTGTGTGTCCTATGAAGGATATAAATCACTATTATGGCTGTTTGAAAGGATAGTGACCTCCTTGCATTTTGCGACAGTATGAAAATATAATCTAGGAGAAAGAGGTCCCTGTAGTCATATTCTCTTCAACCCTCTGTTGCTGTTCACTACCAGAAACTTCTTCCTTTCTGGAACACCTGTCTGAAAGTCTTTCTAATGTTTCTGGGAAAGCCTCAAGCCTAATTGGAAAATGCTATTGATGTTCAACAGTATTGGTGAACATTTTAAAAAACCAGCATGACTCCACCAATCACATTTATCACAATGATTATTTTGCATTCCTGACTTCTTGGAGGGAGTTAGAATTGCAGTATGGAGGTTAATCTTAATGGAAACATTGGCAATATCAAAAAGTACATAGAGAGCACAGGTTGGAGAAACAGAAAGGAAGAGTACATGCAGGCTGAAGCTTTTGTGATATTTGAATGTTGATAGCGACATGGAATAGGCATTGTATCAGCAGCTACAAGATGAGATTGTGGAATAGCTGGAATTGGATAGGCTAGAAGTAACCAACATGGTGCCTCTCCCATACTGTTGTTGCACTGCAGCTCTGATAATCTCTGACTGTTGTCCTTGCTGGCTCATGTGAGCTGGATTCCAATAGGACCTAGACTATCCCCAGTAGCCGTTGGCAGGGCAGGCAGGACAAAGTTACGTTCTTGCCTTCCCAGTGCTGAGCAAAAGGCAGGGAGGGAGAGGGGTGGGGAGCCCAGCACCGGACGGCCACAGAAGTGCTTCCGTACTTTGCACAGGTCTCAGAAAATAACATACTAAAATTCGGATTCAGATAGAGCAAGACGACTCCTCTTGGTAAAAGGAAAAACCCTGGGGTAGGGTGGAGGGGAAAGCCCATGGTTTCATCTTTGTGGACAGACTATTTCAAAGTAGTGAATTTTCGTATGTTATTTTCCTATCTCATGGATGGCGGATAATGAAATATTTAATTGGAGCCAAATCAACCTTCATAGCACTGTGCGATGGCATTCCTGATTTATATAAAAAATTAAAACAAATTTGTTCTTGGTATAAGCCTTCGTGTGCATGCACACTTCTTCAGATATGAAAGCTTATACCAAGAACAAACTTAGTTGGTCTCTAAGATGCTACTGGACCACACACACACACACACACACACACACACCTTGGGTTAAGTACTTAATTCGTTCCGGAGGTCCGTTCTTAACCTGAAGCACCACTTTACCTAATGGGGCCTCCTGCTGCCGTTGCGCTGCTGGAGCACGATTTCTGTTCTCATCCTGAAGCAAAGTTCATAACCTGAAGCACTATTTCTGGGTTAGCAGAGTCTGTAACTTGAAGCGTATGTAACCCGAGGTACCACTGTATATATATTGACTGCGTCAGACCAACACGGCTACCTATCTGAATCTAATTCCTGATTTAGTTAAGCAGATTTTAGTGGAACCCTACGTTAGTCTCTCAGTACTTACTCATGAAAACCCTAATCAAGTATCCCAGTGCTTTTCCAAAGTCAACATTGTTTTATTATTTATTGCATTTATATCCTGCCTTTCCTTCAGTTCACTCAAGGCAGCATATATTTTGTCTCCCCTTCCAAAAAAAATAAAAAAAAAAATCCTCATTACAACCCTAGGAGGTAGGCTGGTTTGAGAGATGCTGACTGGTGCCAAATCAACCAGTAAGGTTCATGGCTGAGTTGGGAATTGAACCAGAATTTTCCCAGTCCTAGTCTATCACTCTGATCCTTATACCACATGGCTTCCTAGTATAGCCTATTGTTCATAAGACTGCCTTGCTTTTCAAGCAGTTACAAGGGATACACCTGGAAGCTTGCTGCAGTATGGAAAAACACAACATGGTGATTTGCTACAGCTACCCACATATCAAAGTTTTAACCGTGTGGCTTCTTAATACACCCCTCAGTGTGTCCTGCATTGTCCCAACAACTTTAGCAAAGAGAATTTTAAGAAAGCTATTAGCAACACAATAAACTTATACGATGCATCTGACTTCCTGGGAACCTGTTATAAAACCATCATCGTTTGTGCCCGCGTCTCAGTTTCCCCTGCAAGGTTTAGGATAAATAGTCCGAGATTGTACCTTACTCATGTATCTTCCCCCCCCCCTTTTCCAAATTCCAAAGTCTAACCACACAATAAGTGGTTTTTGAGAACCAGGCTTCCTGCATCTTAACACTCCTACCAATCACTGCTGGAAGAGATTTGCTTCATTTCCTTTCTCCTTCTTTGCAGCGTTGTTTTCCACAGGAAGTGGTGACTTTCCCCCTCGGACACAAGCACTGCTGTGTAGCTCTTTGCAGAGGCCCACGTTCCGCACAAGTGTCCACTTTCACTTGGCACATGTAAACGCCTCTGACGGCGTGTTGCACTTCACCCTTAATGAAGGTCATGCTGCACAAGTTGGCCTAAGGAACTTCAGTTATTATTCTGCTGTCATCTATCATTTTAACTATTCTCAGGTTAAACTTCATATATTTCAGGTTGGGGTGACATGCCCAGTGCAGAACTGCTGGAATCCTAGGCATGCTTTGACCACATGAAAACATTTCACTTCCCCCTCCCCCCCACCTTTTTTTTTTTTTTTGGGGGGGGTAAATGTAATAAATGACTGCAGCTCTGTTCTGAAAAATCTTTTTCCTTACCCAGAGAAAGCTCCTGTTGAAGTGTGCTGTAACGCAAGAATTATGACTTGCATTCTTTTTGTGGCTCAGGAGTATAAACTAGACATTATTTTTCATCCCTTACAGTATGATTGTGTTTATGAACATGCAGAGCCAGCCTTAATTTTTTTTTTTAAAAGAAAAAAAGTAATTATAGGTTCAGCTTCCTGGCATGCTTTACCAAGTTGCGTTTGAATCCTTCGCAAACCTGCTTTTAATTTTTATTTCATTATATGAATGTTAAAACAGGATCGTTATAGTCCCTGCCATGAGAAAATGTCGGAATTTCAAGGCACTGTGGGTTGCCAGTATTATTGGATTTTAATTAGAGGAACAACTATCATTTTATTTTTAAGCCAGTGAGTGAAAGGGTGTAGCAGTGCAGAAGAGGCTGCTCAATATAACTGCAGTTTACCCCATACTCTACCCATCAGAGTCTATACTTCCCTTGAGGGGAAGAATACTATGTGCAAGGCTCCCATTAATGTTAATGGGAGTTAGAAGGCTGCAATGAGCAGGAGACATTCCAGCAGAGTTTGGCTTTACTGCCTATCCGCTCTCTTCGCTCAGAGTTTTACACCTAATGTGTAAATTCCCCAGGCCAAAACAAGGGCTGAACTTGCAAATAGGAATGCACACCTACGGTGAATTCATCTCCCACTTCTGCATCGAAAGGTAGAGGAGAAGAGAATGCCATTTGCTCTGAAATGAAAGTTAATTGTTGCAGTTCCATGCCACCAATTTTAGCTGTTGATCACTCTGGAAAATATGGTAGGATTATTTCAAACAGCTGAGAGGTTTCTTTTTGTGACATTCCCTTTTCCCCCCAGAATTGCCTAAAATAACTGATTTAAGGCCGTATGATCATCTGTGTACAGTGAGTAGTGCTGTCTACTTCCGAGTAGTATACATAGACAAGACAAGGTCTATGGACATCCTTGTTTAGGCTGCTAAAATTCTGATGTGCTGGTGGTGAAAATAGTAACAGTAGAGGAAGTGAACCAGATGCTGGTGTCCTGTGTGACTACTCCTAAGGAGGACATGGGACAACAGACCAAAAATCTATACGGTCAACTCCTGCTCCTACGTAATGTTTCTCATAGGTCTCATTCAAATCTTGAAGATCAAAAGACTGAGAAGAAGCACAGATCTCTCAGACATATGCCTTTTGTTTCCTAAGCCTATCCTTTGAGGAAACACAGTTGATGGAAAATTTCTGTAAGCCGATTGTAAGAGTTTAATATTTTTTCTGCCAAATAAGACGGGATGTATCTACCTCTGGGCTGGCCCTGATAAATAACCATTTAGTGGTTATAAAGTCAGCAGTGTGAAACATTAGCAAAGTGTTTCTAAAGGGCAGAATTTCTAAGCACAAAAGCTGTAAGAGATATTCTTTTGTGCTGTGATGTACACTAATGATTGTTTAATAGTGATCAAAATAGACTATAAACTATTATACAGTAATTTTTTTTGTTTGAAACAAGATCATTATGAGTTATATTTTCGATAATTCTAAATCTACACTATTGAGGCTTTAATAAATATTTTATTCAATCTAGAATGCAAATAATGAAATCACTAAACAGTCATCAACCATTAAATCTTTGAAATATGAAGTCCAGCGAAAAGAAGAACAGATGCGGGAACTACAGGAAAAGTAGGTTCACTTTGCTTCTCCATTGTGTCTGGTTCCCCCCAGTGGCAGAAATGTAATTACTTAACAGAATTTTGGATCAAGTAGAGACATTTTTCTGGAAATGATATTTTCCATCCAGTTTCTTTTTTTCCTTTATGATGCCTATTTCAAACTATTGCAGCAGTCCATGCTGAAGACTTTAAAAGCAAAAGACAAAAACGGATGAGTTGTTAACTGACTATAATTTCTGTATAGCAAAAAGAGTATCCACAGTCACATTTCAGATTGCAGAGTGAGCTTGCTTATCCCTTGATGTAAATCTAAATGATTGCCTCACCGTAGCTAAAAGCAATCTTTCAAATACAAATGCCTAAGGGCTTAAAGACAAGTCAAGGTTTAGATGCTTAAACAGGATTAAATCTCCAGTTTTACATCTGTAAAAGGTGCAAAAGGGCAGTTAGGCTTATTCATTTTTATGTTTGTTAACTCTGCAACCCTATTCCTGTTTACTCAGAAATACATCCCATTGTATTCAGTGGGGCTGACTGCCAGGTAAGTGTTTATTATAGGATTGCAGTTTTAACTCTGAAAAACATTAACTCGGAAAATCACATCTCATTTATTTTACATGCATAACACTGTATTTTAACTATGCTGGTTTATTCCAGAAGAGCATACTATAGATTTGTAGATTGATTATCTAGTCAAATATTAAAGTCACAGAAACACCTGCAAGTGAGTAAACCTGCTGCCTACTACTGTGTGATCATGGAAATAAAAAATATTTTATTGACGTGGCTCCTTCACCTTTAAGACGGGAGTATCTTTAAAATACATTCATGGAATGCATATTTCATTGATTAATGCCTTAAGATGCAGCTAAAGAACCCAGCACCTACATTTTTTAGATTTCAGATAAGACTGTGCCCTACCATTATTTTATATAGTAAATACTGAATGTGCTTTGCTGGAGGTGATCTACTCGATTGCTCCCAGTACACTGTTAGGTGACCATTCAAATGTAAATTCCTTCTATCCTTTTTTATTATGCCATGGTTTTCTTGCTGATTTTATGTGACATGATATCAACAACAATGTATTCTGTATATTCAACATACTGATTTGATTTATTTGGATAAAGTATTGTGTCCATAAGAAAACAGTTTCAAGTAATAAGGCAATAGGCATCCTGTTTGTCTCACATATCACCCAATCAGCAGTTTTTAAAATTCCTTTGCCACAGATTTGCTATGGAAAAGTTTGCATTTCCTTCAGAGATGCTATGTGTGAAAGCAATGCTGTCTTTGAAATCAGCATATTGATTTTCCACAGATATTACTCACAGACATATTTTAATTCCTTCCTTTTTATTGTTATGAAGCTTTCTACATCCTAAATAAAGGTGTACAATCATGCTGGGCAGTCCACATATTTGCACTTTTAAATTGATACTTTAGTAAATTACAATCTTCCTCTTCTTCACTTTGTCAGCCTACACCAAAATAATGCAATATTCTGCTTTCCCTTTGCTCATAATTGTATGCTCACCTTAGTATGATTAACTGTAGGAAGTACTGTGTATTTGCATTGCTGGCATAATAATGTTGTGCTTGCAATTCAGAAGTCCACAGAGTTTCAATTTATCTGTTGTATCTTTATATGTGTTTAGTAAAATGGAATGATTTTCAACTCCTTTGCACTGGCAAAATGTACAAAGATTAGCACTCATCAGAGTCATACATTTTAATTATTCAAAATAAGCACAGAGTAGTAATGTTTCCTAATTCTGTGGATATTGCATTCCTCCTTATTTGAAGGATTTCTCGAATGGAGAGAGACCTAAGTATGAAAAGGAATTTAATAGAAGATTGGAAGCTGCGCATGAAAGCAAATCAGGAAAAAGAAAAAAGCTTTAATGAAAAACTACAAACTCTTGAAGAAAAGGTATGTCATGTTTTGTGTGTGTTTAATCCCCCTCCTCCAAAATGAACATCACATGCAAAAATCAAAATATTAACACCGTTGGTGAGGTTTTGTTTGTTTGTTTTTTAAAAAGTGTTGCATTTGTATCCACTTAGAAATGCTATCAGATTTCATTGATTAATTGCAGCAGTCATGATAATTCCATTCATACATAGAGAGAGCACATTTGTGCTATCTAAACAGTAAAATAATTTAATGTGAGAATGAAAGGTTTGCTGTGTACATATGGTATATAGTGAAGCTGGCTTTTCTTGTGCTTGTTAATTTCAAAAGAATGCAGCTCAAATACCTTATATGTGAAATATATGTGTTTGCTCTATCTAACATCTAGCAGAAAGAAAAGATTACATTTCAATTAGCTTTATAATAACAGTGACATGTTATCCCTTTCGCTGTTATATATTTAATGATTCCATTTTATGCTATTCTGCAAGTTGTTTTCTCCCTAAATATTTAATGCATTTTGCAGATGCTTAAAGGGACGAGAAGTGAAATTGCGCCTTCCTTACGCTATCTGCCCAGCACCCTTTTATTCCCAGCAAACAGGGCTCGCATGGAGGAACCCCTGAGGCTTCACACTGTACAACCTCAGAGCAGAAATAGTTTTCGAGGCGAGCCCTACTTTGATTCTCTTTAAAATCAGGCGCTGGCTGCGTTGCTCTGAAAGTAGCCTGCACCGGCAGCCATTAAGCACTTGTCAGTTCCAGAGAGAACTACTCTCTTGCCCTCCATGTCAGAGATAAGATGTCATTAAGAAATCATCAGCCAAAAAGAGGGGGGTTGGGGTTGAGAGGAAATCACACCAGGAAGGTGCAAAATGAATCCTTGATTTTGTTTCTGTTTTAGAAAATCAATGTTTTGAAGAGCTGTGATATTATATCTTGCATGTTTTGATTTCAGGGAGAGAAAGTATATGCATACCATAGATTGCATAGATCTTGAATACATTTCCTTTACAGTTGTTTGAGAAAGGCTGATCCAAACAAAATCTATAGGTGTTGGATACTAACAGAAGGGTTGTGTGGTTAATATTTGTTTCCATCAAAACCTGAAAGCATTAATTCTCCATGTAGCTATACTTTCTGCATGCTTATATCTGTCTACTTGCTAAATGCTATGAATTTTGTAATCACTACGAACTTGGAGCTCTGTAGCCAGTTATGTGTGAATAAGTTCTATTGATTTCCATGGGATACAGTCCCTGCAGAAACAGCTGAAAGAGAGCTGCCGGTCTTTTCACCTAAACTGGCAAAAGAAATGTTTACAATTAAACGTAGTTGTTATTTTGGCAAAAGGTTTTAGGTTTCCCCTCGAAATGATGCAAATTTTTCCCCTAATAACAGTTATTCTCTGGGTGTTACTTCAGGTAAAGTCATTGACGGAAGATTGTTCAAACAAAAAAACGTCGATTGATTCACTAAAGCAAAGGCTTAATGTAGCTACAAAAGAAAAGGCACAATATGAGCAGATGAATCGCAAAGCTAAGGAGGAGCTGGAGAAAAAGGTACATGGTTACAGATTGTTTTGGATTAAACACAGAATATTTAATTTCTACCTAACCTTTTCATGTACAGTGTTTATTACCAAAAGGAAAAGAGTGGTGAGGTCAGCAACTCTGCATTTTCACTCTACCCATCACGGTATCTCTGTGGTTTTTATTCTCTTGGACTTGGAGCCTTTACAAGATACAAATGTAATGGCAAAATGCATATTTGAAGATGAATTAAATGAATCACAGTATGATGTTCTGTGATATTAGCCTAGGTAGTGAAATTCAATATGCCCCTGTTTGTAGCACCCTAAAATGGGTTCAGCGGAGCTGCTTTTTTTCTGCGCAATTCAAGAAGCAAGGACTGAAACTTCTGGTTGGGGCAGTCAGGGAATATGTGAACATGCTCCTGTGGTGCCCACCATCATTATCCTTAGGTCAGGGATGAGAAACCTGTAGGGTCTGGTGTGGGAGGCACTGCTGCTCTCCTGGCTCCCAAATACAATGGCAATAGTGGCAGATGGGCTTCCCAGCACCACACAGTGCCAAGTTCCCCATGCCCCCCCCCCCGGAGAGCACCAACGACATGCAATGTTTGGAAGCTGGGGGAGAAGTGGACTCGTCAGGAATTACAGCTGTCCAACAACATATGAAGTCCCATAGGTTCCCCATCACTGCTCTATGTAGAAAGCATATCTTTGGCTCTCCATTGGTTCATTCATGTTGTTCTTTTAGCTTAGGTAGAGACAGAGATTTTAAGTGTTGTTCTTGTTCCCACCTTAAAGGTACAGTGGTACCTCGGATTACATACGCTTCAGGTTACATACACTTCAGGTAACACACTCCGCTAACCCAGAAATAGTGCTTCAGGTTAAGAAATTTGCTTCAGGATAAGAACAGAAATCATGCTCTGGCGGCCCGGTGGCAGCAGGGGGCCCCATTAGCTAAAGTGATGCTTCAGGTTAAGAACAGTTTCAGGTTAAGAATGGACCTCCGGAATGAATTAAGTACTTAACCCGAGGTACCACTGTAAAGGGACCCCTGACCATTAGGTCCAGTCGTGGCCGACTCTGGGGTTGCGGCTCTCATCTCACTTTATTGGCCGAGGGAGTCGGCGTACAGCTTCTGGGTCATGTGGCCAGCATGACTAAGCCGCTTCTGACAAACCAGAGCAGCACACGGAAACGCCATTTACCTTCCCGCCGGAGCGGTACCTATTTATCTACTAGCACTTTGATGTGCTTTCGAACTGCTAGGTTGGCAGGAGCAGGGACCAAGCAACGGGAGCTCACCCCATCGCGGGGATTTGAACCGCCAACCTTCTAATCGGCAAGTCCTAGGCTCTGTGGTTTAACCCACAGCACCACTCGCGTCCCACCTTACTTATTACCTATTACCTAGTTGGGCTGGCCCAAGGCGTTTTGGCACCTGTGGCGAACCGCACAATGGCACTCCCTCACCAGGGGAGAACGGGTAAGGGAAGATGTATATCAGGAACGGGGGGGGGGGGTAAAATTCTACATCGGGAGCAAGGATGGAAGGAGCAAAAGGTTGTTGCAGAGGTGGCATTGGGTGGGGCTTAAGAAGTCCACAGACCCAGCCTCCAAGGAGTGGTAGTAGCAGCAGCAGCAGCAGCAGGGACAATGCATTCCATATCTACTGCCTCTGTGGATCTTGCTGCCTTACCTTGTCCTGTGAGTTGGTACCTAGGAAAAGGGGGAAAGAAAGATGGAATGAAGGCCATGTATGAACTCAAAGCTTACTCTTGTCTCCTACTGGGTCAGAAACCCTACATTCGTATTATGGGCAGGACGTACCCTGAGCCCATATTAAGACAGCAATGGCTTCATTGAGCCCAAGGCACTCGGTGGTAGAAAATCCACAACTGTGTGATACAGTCCAAAGGAAACAGCACTTAGGTTTAAGCCAGGTATGACACACCAATACATAGATCCTTTCTCTGAGTTTGTTTAACCCCAGACAGCTGAGGAAGAATGGTGGGGACATGGGAGAGGGTAGCAGGCTGCTCCGTTGGGAGAGAGTAATGTACAAAATCATTGTAACCTAAAGCAAATCAAGCAAAGGTACCTTTATAGATATGTGACACTGGAAAAAGACAGCAATGAACATGGTAAAGGAAGCTGAATACAGTTTTCAACTTATGTTCTTGTTCTTGCTCTAGCTTCTAACTGTGCAGTATCCCAACTCCTCATGAAATCAGACAAGAACTAAGAATGCCCCCACTCTAAGGGTGAAGGAACCAAGTTGTGGTCCCTACAGTGCATCTTCCTAGAAAGGGGACACAATGGACTTTGTGGACTCACTATGTATCCACAAAACTCGCAATCCCTCTCATGGCTTGATTGACTCACTTTAGGGTATTTTGCTCTTGAGTAAAAAGTATACCAATATCATTTTCATGTGGCTTTATTTCAGGAGCTTAAACTCGCCAATCTAGAAGCTAAAATGGCTGAGGCGGAATGTGCCATGACAGAACTCGAAACCACTGCCTCTCAGCAACTTCATGGCTTGGCAAAGCAAAGTGAACAGGCACTCGAAGTACTGCAGAAAAAATTGATGATGTCCAATGACAAAGTGGAAGAGTTCGTTACCTTTGTGAAGGTTCGGTATTTTAAATTTTTTTCCTTTGGTTTAGTGACATGCCTTAGGTCAGCTTTCCCCAACCTAGTGCCCTCCAGATATGCCCTCCAGTGCTTAGGGATGACAGAAGTACCATTCCAACATCTGGAGGGCACTGGGTTGGGGAAGGCTGACCTACATCATACTAATTTAATGCAAACATTCCTGTGGACTCCAGACTTCAGGATTTTCCTACTGTCCTTCTAGCAGAAGGTGAGACGGGCCAATGGTGACATCTCTGCCTCTGCACTTGGGGCATCCACTGTTGCCAGGATGAAGTTTTCTTCTGGCTCAGCATACCCCCAGCATCCAGATCAAGACCCCCCCCAGCCCCTGGGACCCTCCCTCAGATTGGTTTCCAGACTGCCATCCCACTCCTCTCCCCCCTATATATGTATATATTAAAAAACCACCTCTCCTCATGTGAACAAAGATGGACAAAGCTGTTGTTTGAGTGACTCACCTTTGATGAGTGACTGTCCAATTTCTTCTGAGCACAAAGTGATGTCCAGACAGCACAACCAGACAGGAGATCTGTGAACAGGATGTCCACTGAATTTTGTTTTGCTAATTAGCAGCCCTGTTAAGGGCGGGGTGTGTATGAAGGTTGGGGGGAGGGCTTGATTTGGAAGGTGTTGTTTAATCCTTTTCTCCCAGGCAGTTTCTCCAAGGTAAATTGCCTTCTAAAAAGTGGTTGTTAGCTGCGCAGGGCAGAAAAAGGCATGTGCAGATGCTGCCCCCCCCGGCAGAACTAATAGCAACAGCAGTATCTATAAAGGTGGGTCACAGTAAAGTGAGATAAATGTCATAGGGCTTCTTTTGCTTTGACTTAACCTGTTATGAATCTGGAATAGAACATCCTGTTTTCTCTATCAACATTTTAAATTTAATTTAATAGACCTTTCCAAATAAATGCCATCTCCAAAATATCATAGTTATGTATCCTCCCTCTGTTGAATAGAAGATCACTGCCAAGTTGTCAAGAGCAAAGGTAGCTAAAAAGAAATTGCCAGCAGGAGTGAAATTAATAAAGACTAAATGAAATTAACTTGCTTGCTGACAACCTAACAAGCTAATTACTACTTTGGATAGTCAGTAATAAACACAGTCAAGCACACGGCACCTAAAAACAGCTGAGTAGCTTTCAGAGGAAGAAGAGGAAGCACGCTATCTCAAAAGATGTGTCGCTGCATGTATTAAAATGGTCAGGGCACAGTTCTCGTCTGCTAAGCACACCTAGAACTGATGGATTTCATTGGAACTTAAGCACATTTTGCTGTGCTTTGGACTGCGACTGCACAAAATGCAACGGAATGAGCTTATAGTGACAGGACTTTTCTAGCTGAGCACAATTTGTGAGAAGTAGACCAAACAAGATCAGGGGAGCATTGCTCCAAAGTGATCATGTCAGAGAAAACACTAATTTTGAAAGTCAAGGACCTCACCACATGCATATATTGATCCCTTCAAACGGAACACACAGAAATCAACTCCAGCGTCCTGCTCTACATAATAAAATGGTATGGGAGCCTCCTTGAAACAGCATCCCCAGGTCACCTTTCCCATACTGCATCTTGCCCCTAAGGCATCTTCCCCGTAGTATTTTGTATTATCCACTATGTGTGTTTAGGAATGTACCAGTGCCAGAATATTTGTTACTCCTCAACACTGCTTTCTAGTTTTGCATACTTCTCACAATCTGTATTTTGGGGCATTTCATATCACTCGGAACTATCTGTTTACATTTTTAACACGACACTCATGCATAATAAACATACCTGCCAACTTAGTATAACAATGCATGCAGCTGGTGAACTGGATTTCACCTGTAGTGCCCGGAAGCTTGCTACCATGATACAGGTGTTTAATCTTTAAGGGGCCACAAGACTCATTGCTTTTCATGTTGCTCTTCTGCATTGTATGGATATTTCCTGAGTGATAGCTCAGTTGGTAGAGCATGAGACTCTTAATCTCAGGGCTGTGGGTCCGAGCCCCACACTGGGCAAAAGATTCCTGCATTACAGGGAGTTGGACTAGATGACCCTCGTGGTCCCTTCCAACTCATATGATTCTGTGATCTTCCAGGCCAGTGCCAGCTACAAGTACAGTGGTACCTCGGGTTAAGTACTTAATTTGTTCCGGAGGTCCGTTCTTAACCTGAAACTGTTCTTAACCTGAAGCACCACTTTAGCTAATGGGGACTCCTGCTGCTGCCGTGCCGCCGGAGCATGATTTCTGTTCTCATCCTGAAGCAAAGTTCTTAACCCGAGGTACTATTTCTGTGTTAGCGGAGTCTGTAACCTGAAGTGTATGTAACCTGAAGCGTATGTAACCCGAGGTACCACTGTAGTCATGTGCAGCACTGGTGCAGATCCTCTCTACACTATTCAGATAGTGAGCTCTGCTGCAAGTTGCTTTAGCAGTATAGAGAATGTTGTAGCATGGGGTTGCCATATTGAAATGCCAATTGAAATGGGGAAATTTGCATGGGGGGGGAGCTCAACAACTTTTGTGTCTGGATTTTTACTTCTTGAAATATGGAACCCTATTGTAGCATAGAATGCTCTTATTCAAGGTTCTAGCCTTGCACAACCCTTTCCCCAGGGTTGTTCTATTACAAACAAGGGTTGCATCTCTCTCCCAATCTTGGCACAAAAAATTAATAGCCAGTCAGCATTCCATACCTACGAAGCCTGCTGAATCCTAACTAAGCTGTTTTTGTGCCTTTTCATCCTTTCGTTTCCCCTTGCTTCCTCCAGATTTTAAATTTTTTTATTTCTGCAGATGTGTTCCTGCCTTCCATTTGTGTAGTGTCATTTTGCCTACATACAAATCCACCCTCATAGAATGAGTTTTCTATTAGTATATAGCAGGGGTAGGCAAAGGGTCGATTGGGATCTACTGGGAGATATGCAGGTGATTTGAGGTTGATCATCTGGGATTTCTGGCTCCCATTTGTGTAACAATGGCAACATCAAATGACTTCCCAACGCCTTAGATTATACTCTTGAAATGCTGTTATATGGTTACACCATTACATGGTTAACCGTTGCAAGGAATCAATGGCTTCACACATTTTTGTCATTTGTGAGGACTGCCTTTTTTACATATTTGTGCTGTGACAATCTTAAAACGTACACAGTTACAAACCTCATAATAAACAAAACCCAGGTCAATATGCATTTGATAGGATAATTTTGTTGAAAACTGTTAATCTATTGTGCCCGGTAGATAAATTGCAAGAAAACAAAGATGTGGTCTGGAAATCAGATATTGATGATGAGCAGAGCAGCCATTATTGACTTGAATTCACCTAGTTGCTAAATATTTATGCAAGGAGAGTCCTCTGAAACCCATTTTTAAGCACAGTGTGTTACCGAAAAATAACAGCTGAGATTCTTCCTCGGGTATCAGTAGCACTATATACTGCACATAAAAACTACTTCTTAAACATTTCCCACTAAAACCACACATAGGGAAATTAAGTTAGCACAATGAGGCAGTACCTGTGCCCCTCCTCCTGGCACCACCTCCTTCTTTGAAGTATACTCTGTGCCATCTCTACCCTCTCCCTCTAGGAAACCGCCAATTTTTCTTCTATTCTCGCCCTGCTCTTCCCTTTTCCACTTTGATATGTCTCTCCCTCCTGTATCGGCCCTTATTATGAGACGGCTGTATCTTCAAGTGAATGACAGAGACCCTTTTCACACATTCTGCATTTGAAGTGTACACCAGGCGTACGAACGTACCTTGGCTTTTGACCTTCAGCACTGTAAGGGCTGCATCAGTACAAAACACGGTACCATTTCTCGGTTTGATCGTAATTTGCATTATGCCTTTACTTTGCATTATAGATCTTGCTCACTGTAGACACGGCTGCCCTTTTCTCTGCTACAACGCGCTCAGTTCAGCCGCCCGTCACCCCAATCCTACAGATAAGAGTATGTGTCCCCAGGTTATTGGCCAAGCAGCTGTCCATACTGCTTTCACCTTTTCTCTCTCTTCATTTGAGTGATCTGATCCGTTTGTTCACGGTACTGTCAACCCCCAAAGCCTTCAGCCTTGAGTTACTTTCAGCCATCATATTTATCTACAGGAAACTTGGATTCTTGTCAGCTATGTCTGCACCAGTAGATACATTTGGGAGATTTTGAACTTGAGGGGGAATACTGGAGAATATGGAATGTGTGAAATGATTTCTTTAAAAAAAATGAAAACTTGTTTGATAGTAATTTCAATCAAATTTAATTTCAATCATCCCATCTCCTTTAAGGATGTGGGATGTTTTCATCTACATGTTCATATCAGTTTTGGTATTTATAGTAGAAGTTAAATGTAACATATTTATATTGTATGATTAGTGGAAATAAAGCAGCTTTTGTAACATTTTACAAGTGGAAGGCTTCATATTGGTATTTGATATCAGCAGATACTGCAGAAATGCCCCAAATACTCGACCATTTAATTAACAACAAGCTGAATTTTTCATACTTTATAGATCTTGATTTAATTATTGCTCTGGGACTACATTCATGTGATCTGAAATATGTCTACTCAGAGTAAACTCCACTGAGCTCAGTGGGACCTATTTCCAGGAAAAATGTTTAGGATCAGAGCCCTAGAACTATGTGAGTAATATACTGGTTAAATAGGATGTAGCCTGATGATAACTAAGATTTCCTGGCTTCTCTTCTGTGTCTGGAAAGATGTTATAATACAATTTTGGTTAGAAGCACCATTCCTTTTATAAGGCTTTTGGTCGTAGGAAACAAGCTTAATGTTGGAGCAGCTTGAAAGCAAAGACTGAACTTTTTGGCCCATTTTAGCTCAATCTTACAGTTGTAATTTTAGTTCAGATTAGGAAAAAATTCCAGTATGATGCATTTGCACCATTGTCACCAGGCAGTGAGTTTGCCAGTCTGTGAACATCCATAATATGTGTGATAACAAAATAAATCGGAATAGTTTTTAATTTAAACACT